CTGAATATATTAATATTTTTAAATAATATTTCCATTAATAAAGCTTATTATATAATATTAACATATATAATGTTTTGATTACAGTAAATGTTATATAATATGTTCTTTCTTCTATTCGTTGCAGACGATAATCATCTAAGCGCAATAACTGAGGCTAAGCAGTCTCAAGGATTCCAAGGCTTTTGGATCCGGATCGTCGTTGTTTGTTTTATTCATAGGTCTTGTTTGTGTTTGTCGTTGATATTCTAATTTAAATGGGCACAGCTCCGAGTGGTCCCGGGGTGCCACCACTTAGTAACAGGGGAATGCCGACAGTAAAATGAAATGGAATTGTTAATACTTTGTCTACTCAAAGTGTGTGTACTAATTGTTTTATTTATTTTTATTTTATTGGTTGGATTTTAAAGTCGTCGGAATCCCACGAAATCTATTCTTTTTAATTGTAAAATCTCCCTGTTATAAAACAGACCGGTCACCAGATTTATCTAACATCAGCAACACGTACAGTCTAAACTTGTTGTTCACTTCGAACTGTTCATCTTTAAAAATGTCATCCCATGAGGAAGGAGGCGCTGCCGCCAGTGTCCCCGGCACTGGCCCCGAGATAGCCATTCCAGTAGAAGACGGTGACTTCAATCTCAGCAACAACTTTATAGAGATACTCAATCTCAGCAATGTCGATATAGAGAGACTGGAGTCATTGGACAAAGCTTTCGAAGGTGATCAGCATCTCACACCCACCGCCAAACCATTGATACAAAGGGTTCCATCCACCCTCGGCAAGGCCGATGATTTCGTCAAGTATTTCAAGCCGAGGGTCATCTCGATCGGACCCATCCACCACGGCGATCCCACTCTCCGTGGCTCCGAGCAACTCAAGCTCCGACTAGCGGCCCATTTCGTGAAGAACATCGGGGTCGAGAAGGAGACGTTGTACAACGCGATCAAGACAGAGATCTGTAGCTTGAAGGAATGCTACGATAAGAAGTTATTGGAGCCATATGATGATGAGAAGCTGGCCTGGATGATGTTCATCGACGGATGTGCAATCTTACAAGCCATTTTACAGGGCTCTTATTATTATTATTATTATTATGAAGATGATGATGAATGGAAATCGTGGAGTAAAACGATCATTAAGACTGATTTGCTGACATTCGTGTACTTGGATCTGTTATTGGTGGAAAATCAGTTGCCTTATCGTGTTCTTCAGTTGTTGATCACAAGCTCGAGCAGCAGCAAGAAGGGTTTGTTAATGAAAATGATCGAAGAGTTCATTGATAATGTTATTTTCCCAACAGATATTGAACAACCACTGGAACATGAAGGAGAACCAGTTCATGATATGGAACAACCACTGGAACAGGAAGGAGAACCAGTTCATCTCTTGGATTATCTGCGAAAGAGATTGATTCTCGAGAAAGAAAAGAAGATAACCCTTTTGGAGATATTAGGGTTCATGTACCAGATTCTGAATTGCAGTTGCAAAAGAAGACCACAAAGGGCCACAAAGATGGGATATAATTATCCTGCGTTTCGTAAAGCGAAAGATCTTAGAAATGCTGGAATTTGGTTCAAACAAAGTGAAACCAGTGTCCTCACAGACGTCGGTTTCAGCCGGACATTCTTCGTTGGAAAACTACGGCTTCCGCCGATCAGGGTGGACGAGTCGACGGGGCCTATGTTGATGAACTTGATAGCCTACGAAATGTGCCCGGATTTCGAAAACGATTCCGAAGTCACCTCGTACGTTTGGCTCCTCGACTCGCTCATTGACGATGCCGGAGATGTTCAGGTATTGAGAGACGATGGGGTACTCTACAATGCGCTTGGAAGTGATGAAGAAGTGGCTAAACTTTTGAACAAGATGAACCCCGTGTTGGTTCCAAATCCGGCAATTTACTACGGCGTGGCACGGAAAGTCCATAACCATTGTCGGACAAAGTGGATCAGGCATGCAGCTCAAGCCTACCTCACCTATTTTAGCAGCCCTTGGACCTTCATAGCATTTGTGGCCGCCATTGCTGCACTTCTCCTCAGTTCTCTTCAGACTTCTTACACCATTATTTCAGCAAAGTAAGTCTTCATTTACTCGGCATACAAACAACTGTGATTTATCATAGATTTTAGGGTAAATTACACGTTTAGTGTTTAAACTATCAGTTTTAGTCTGTTTTAATACCTAATTTTTTTTTCAAAACCATATCTGAAGTTTATTTTTTGTTTTATTTTAGTACTCCGTTCAAAATTCAATGTTAAATTTTGAAAATAATTGAAAGTATAAGTACTAAAACTAATAGTTTAGGTACTAAATGTGTTAAGTTTTTAATGGTAGGGTACTAAAATGAAACAAAAACTAAATATTAGGTATGGTCTTGAAAAAAACTAAAAGTTTAGGTACTAAAACATACCAAAACTGATCATTTAGGTAATATATGCGTAGTTTACCCTAGATTTTAAGATAAAATACACTAAATATCATTAGACTTTAGAAGGTGTATCGTTTATAGTAGTATTAAACTTTCTATTGCTCTAATTATAATATTAAACTATGGTTTTGGTTTCAATTATATCACAGGGTTGCTAAAATCTAAACAACGTGAAAACATGAACAAAATAATATCGTTTTGATGCGGCTATCGATGTCCAAAACAACGTAGTTTTAGACACTAAACTCTGGAGATGTATTGATTTTGTTACCAAACTTTAAAAATTCATATAGGTAGAGTCGGGTTGAGTTTTTAGTCGACCTTGATATGGCTTGAGCATTTTACCACTCCAGGTCATCAAACCCGATATAGTTTAGGAAAATTCCATCTAACCTGATAAAAACTCGCATTTGACCCTAATTTATTTTCATATGATAGAATATGAACATAACTGGAAAAAGTTGAATGAATGCATAGCTTAGAAGTGTTTCCTACCTTAATTCATATGTTCTTTCTTCTATTTGTTTCACAGAGGAGAATTATCTAAGAGCAATAACTGAGGCTGCTTGGAAAATCTCTAGGATTCGAAGGCTTCTGGATCCGGATCGTCCTTGTTTGTTTAACTATTTTTAGGTCTTGTTTGTCCGTTTCTACTTAATATTTTGATTTGTATTTAAAGTAGAGTTAATTACATCATACATTCTTAAAGTGTGGTATTTTAAATTGATCCCTAAACTTCTAAATATTCAAATTTCATCCTTAAATTATGATTATCATTCTAATTTAGTCTTTAAATTTTTGAACATTTTAGTTTCATTCCCAAACATTTTCAACATTTCAATTTCATCCCAAATTATATGTATGTGCTAATCACATTCCATGTTAATAAAATAGTTAAGTCAAGTTATATTATTACATGTTTGAAAAAAATAAAGTTTAGCTTAAATTATTGCTAAAATTAACTATATGTTTGGATGGATTTTGGGATGAAATTGGAATATTTAAAAGTTTAGGGACAAATTTAGAATAAGGGACATAGTTTGAGATGAAATTGGAATATTCAAAAATTTGAGGACTAATTTATAATAAGTATCATAGTTTGAGGATGCAATTGAAATATTTAAAAGTTTAGGGGCAATTTAAAATAAGGATCATAATTTGTAAATATATGATACAATTAACTCTCTAATGTATTGACGGTTCTTGTACTTTTATACATTTAACAATTTATATAAAGATATATTATAAATAACGAGTTTGAGTTTATGTACGACGTGAAAACATTAACAAAATAATATCGTTTTGATGAGGCTATATATGGTTTTGGTTTCAATTATAATTATATCACAGGGTTGTTAAAATCTAAACGACGTGAAAACATTAACAAAATAATATCGTTTTGATGAGGCTATCGATGCTAAAAACAACATAGTTTTAGATACTAAACTTTGGAGGTGTATTGATTTTGTTACCAAACTTTAAAAACTCATATAGGTAGAGTCGGGCTGAGTTTTTAGTCGACCTAGATATGGCTTGAGCATCCTACCTTAATTTATTTGATAAAATCTCCATCTAACCTGATAAAAACTCGCATTTGACCCTAATTTATTTTTATTTGATAGAATATGAACTTAACTGAAAAAGTTGAATGAATGCATAGCTTAAAAGTGTTTCCTACCTTAATTCATATGTTCTTTCTTCTAATTGTTGCACAGAGGAGAATTATCTAAGAGCAATAACTGAGGCTGCTTGGAAAATCTCTAGGATTCGAAGGCTTCTGGATCCGGATCGTCCTTGTTTGTTTAACTATTTTTAGGTCTTGTTTGTGTGTTTGTGCTTAATATTTTGATTTGTATTTAGAGTTAATTACATCATACGTTCTTAAACTGTGGTATTTTAAATTGATCCCTAAACTTCTAAATATTCAAATTTCGTTCTTAAATTATGATTATCATTCTAATTTAGTCCTCAAACTTTTGAACATTTTAGTTTCATCCCCAAACTATATCCTTCATTCTAAATTGGCCCCCAAACATTTTCAACATTTCAATTTTATCCCAAATTATATGTATGTGCTAATCACATTCCATGTTAATAAAATAGTTAGATCAAGTTATATTATTATATGTTTGAAAAAAATAAAGTTTGGTTTAAATTATTGCTAAAACTAACTATATATTTTGATGAATTTAGGGATGAAATTGGAAGATTTAAAAGTTTAGGGACCAATTTAGAATAAGGGCCATAGTTTGAGATGAAATTGGAATATTCAAAAGTCCAAGGAATAATTTAAAATAAGTATCTTGAGGATGAAATTAAAATATTCAAAAGTTGTATTGATTGTTCTTGTACTTTTATACATTTCACAATTTACATAAACATATATTATAAATAACGAGTTTAGTATTTGAGTTTTTGCACGAATCAAAGAATGTAAGGTATTTGAACGTTCATTGTTAAATGATTATGATTCTTTAGAATATATACTATCACTTGTAAATACATTAGATTAAATTAAATGACAATGAATTGTCGTTGTTGGAGGCATATGATGACTAGAAGCTGGCCTGGATGATGTTCGTTGACGGGATCTTACAAGCCATTTTACAAGAACCCTATTATTATGGAGAAAGTAATTGGTTGAGTAGAACGATCATTAAAACAGATTTTCTGACATTCGTGTACCTGGATCTGTTCTTGTTGGAAAACCAGTTGCCTTATCGTGTTCTTGAGTTGTTGATCACGAGCTCGAGCAGCAGCAAGAAGGGTTTGTCCATGAGATTGATCGAAGGGTTCATTGAAGCAAATTTTGTTACTATTCCAGAAGAGATGGAACAACGATTGAAGCAGGAAGAAGAACCGGTTCATCTCTTGGATCATCTTCGAAAGAGTTTGATTCTCAAGAAAAAGAAGATAGACCTTTTGGAGAAATTAGGGTTGATCGAGTGCCGATGCCATCTGTTTCCCACTTAAAAGATCGACTTTTCTCCTCGTGGGTTTCGTAAAGCGAAAGAGCTTAGAAATTCTGGGACTTGGTTCAAACAAAGTGAAAACGATCTCCTCACGGACTTTAGTTTCAGCCGCACAGGCTTCATCGGAAAACTATGGCTGCCACCGATCAGGGTGGACGAGTCGACGGGGCCAATGTTCATGAACTTGATAGCCTATGAAATGTGCCCGGATTTGGAAAACGATTCTGTAGTCACCTCGTACGTTTGCTTCCTTGACTCGCTCATTGACGATGCCGGAGATGTTCAGGTATTGAGAGACGATGGGGCAGTCTACAATGCGCTTGGAAGTGATGAAGAAGTGGCTAAACTTTTGAACAAGATGAGCACCGTCTCGGTTCCCAATCCGGAAATTTACTACGACGTGAAACGGCAAGTCCAGCAGCATTGTCCGACAAAGTGGATCAGGCATGCAGCTCAAGCTTATCTCACCTATTTTAGCAGCCCTTGGACCTTTATAGCATTTGTGGCCGCCATTGCTGTACTTTTCCTCAGTTCTCTTCAAACTTATTACACCATTATTTCAGCAAAGTAAGTCTTCGTTTACTTGTCTTGCTGATCATTGTGATTTATCATAGATTTTAGGATAAACTACCCCGCAAGATATCATTAGACTTTAGAAGGTGTATCCATTTCAACTATTGAACTTTTTATTGCTCTAGTTATAACATTAAATTACAGTTTTAATTTCAATTATATCACTAGGTTACTGAAATCTAAACGTGAACACATAAACAAAATAATATCATTTTGATGTAGTTATCGATGTCTAAAACAACAGGGTTTTGAGTTTAGTATTTGAGTTTAGCCCTTTATAGCATTTGTGGCCTCCATTGCTGCACGTCTCCTCGGTTCTCTTTATTTACTTGTGTTGGACATAAACAAAACAATGTTGTTTTGGGCATAAACAAAGTAAGTCTTTGTTTACTTGTGTTGCAAGTCATTGTCATTTTATAGCAGATTTAGGTAAACATTAGATATCATTGTACTTTAGACGATGTATCATTTATATCGTTGAACTTTTTATTTCTCTAGTTATAATATTAAATTTTGATTTTGACTTCAATTATATCATTGGGTTGTTGAAATCTAAACGTGGAGACAAACAAAATAATATCGTTTTGATGAGGCTATCGTTGTCAAAAACAAGATAGTTTTAGGCATTAAACTTCGGAGATGTATTGATTTTGTCACAAAACTTTAAAAATATGTATAGGTATAGTCGATTTGGGTTTTTAGTTGACCTGAACCTAACTCGAGCATTCTACTCCTCCAGTCCACATACCATCTAACCCGATATAATTTAGGAAAGTTCTATCCAGCCTGAATTTGGGATGAAAAAACTCGCTGATCGATATTAATATATATATATATATAATTTATTTTTATCAAATTTCTTTGTATTTATGCTGGAATGTTTCATGAATACGTAACTTACAAGTGTTTCCTGCCTTTATTTATATGTTCTTTCTTCTATTCGTTGCAGACGAGAATCATCTAAGCGCAATAACTGAGGCTGCTTAGAAAATCTGAAGGATTCCAAGGCTTTTGGATCCGGATCGTCGTTGTTTGTTTTATTCATAGGTCTTGTTTGTCGTTGATATTTCAATTTAAATGGGCACAGCTCCGAGTGGTCCCGGGGTGCAGCTCCGAGTAACAGGGGAATGCCGATAGTAAAATGAGATGGAATTTTTAATACTTTGTCTACTAAAAAAAAGTAGTTAGTTTTTGGAGGTTGAGATAATTAATAAAATTTTATTGTGATTGGAAAGGGAGTTGGATATTAAAAGTGTGTACTAATTGTTTTAATTTTTTTATTTCATTGGTTGGATTTTAAAGTCGTCGGAATCCCACGAAATCTAATTTTTTTTGGTAGTGCCAAAACCAGTTGTAAAATCTCCCAGCTGTTATAAAACAGACCAGTCACCAGATTTATCCAACGTCAGTAACACAGTCTAAACTTCTTGTTCACTTCGAACTGTTCATCTTTAAAAATGTCATCCCATGAGGAAGGAGGCGCCGCCTCCAGTGTCCCCGGCACTGGCCCCGAGATAGCCATTCCAGTAGAAGACGGTGATTTCAATCTCAGCAACAACTTTATAGAGAAACTCAATCTCAGCAATGTCGATATAGAGAGATTCGAGTCATTGGACGAAGCTTTCGAAGGTGATGATCAGAAACTTACACGCACCACCAAACCATTGATCCAAAAGTTTCCATTGACCACCTCCTATGATTTCCCCGGGCGTTTCCTGCCGAGGGTCATCTCGATCGGACCCATCCACCGCGGAAATTACTTTCGAGGTGGCTCCGACTCCGAGCAGCTCAAGCTCCGACTAGCGGCCCATTTCGTGCGGAACATCGGGGTCGAAAAGGAGACGTTGTACAACGTGATCAAGACGGAGATCGGTAGCTTGAAGAAATGCTACGACCAGAAGTTATTGGAGCCATATGATGATGATAAGCTGGCCTGGATGATGTTCATCGATGGATGTGCAATCTTACAAGTCATTTTACAATGCTCTAATTATTATTATGAAGATGATGAAATTGAATCGTGGAGTAAAACGATCATTGAAACTGATTTGCTGACAAACCTGTACTTGGATCTGTTCTTGCTGGAAAACCAGTTGCCTTACAGTGTTCTTGGGTTGTTGATCAAGAGCTCGAACAGCAAGAAGGAGAATTTTTTCTGGAAAATGATCGAAGGGTTCATTGAAGATAATGTTATTTTCCCAGCAGATATGGAGCAACCACTGGAAAAGGAAGGAGAACCAGTTCATCTCTTGGATTATCTTCGAAAGAGATTGATTATCAAGAAAGAAAAGAAAAAAACCCTTTTGAATATATTAGGGTTTATCAAGTGCCGGATTCTGAATTGCATTTGCCAATGCGGTCCACACAGGGCCACAAAGATGGGGTATAATTATCTTGCGTTGCGTAAAGCGAAAGATCTTAGAAATGCTGGAATTTTGTTCAAACAAAGTGAAACCCTCAACGTCAGTTTCAGCCAGACATTCTTCATCGGAAAACTAAGGCTGCCACCGATCAAGGTGGACGAATCGACGGGGACTATGCTCATGAACTTGATAGCTTACGAAATGTGCCCGGATTTCGATAACGATTTCGCCGTCAACTCTTACGTTAGCCTCCTCGATTCGCTCATCAACGATGCCGGAGATGTTAACGTGTTGAGAAACGATGGGGTACTGTACAATGCCCTTGGAAGTGATGAAGAAGTGGCTAAACTTTTCAACAAGATGAGCCGTGTGTTGGTTCCCGATCAACGCATTTACTCCACCCTGAGACTGCGGGTCCAGGATCATTGTCGGACAAAGTGGTCCAAGCATGCAGCTCAAGCATATAATACCTATTTTAGCAGCCCTTGGACTTTTATAGCAGTTGTGGCCGCCATTGCTGCACTTCTCCTCAGTTTTCTTCAGACTTATTACACCATTATTTCAGCAAAGTAAGTCTTAATTTACTCGTCTTGCAAACCACTGTGATTTATCATAGATTTTAGGGTAAATTACAAGTTTAGTGTTTAAACTATCATTTTAGTCAGTTTTAATACCTAAAATTTTATTTTTTTTAAAATCATACCTAAAGTTTATTTTTATTTTATTTTAGTACTCCGCTCAAAATTCAATGTTAAAATTTGAAAATAATTTAAAGCTTAGGTACTAAAACAGACTAAAATAATAGTTTAAGTACTAAACATGTTAAGTTTTTAATGGCAGGGTACTAAAATGAAACAAAAACTAAATATTATGTATGATTTTGAACAAAATTATAAGTTTAGGTACTAAAATAGACCGAAACTGATAATTTAGATACTATATGCATAGTTCACCCTAGATTTTAAGATAAAAATACACTAAATATCATTAGACTTATCGTTTATACTAGTATTAAACTTTCTATTGCTCTAATTATAACATTAAACTATGGTTTTGGTTTCAATTATATCACTGAGTTGCTAAAATCTAAACGACATGAAAACATGAACAAAATAATATCGTTTTGATACGGCTATCGATGCCCAAAACAACATAGTTTTAGACATTAAACTTTGAAGATGTATTGATTTTGTTGCCAAACTTTAAAAACTCATATAGGTAGAGTCGGGCTGAGTTTTTAGTCGACCTGGATATGGCTTGAGCATTCTACTACTCCACGTCATCTAACCCGATATAGTTTAGGAAAATTCCATCTAACCTGATAAAAACTCGCATTTGACCCTAATTTATTTTCATATGATAGAATATGAACTTAACTGGAAAAAAGTTGAATGAATGCGTAACTTACAAGTGTTTCCTACCTTAATTCATATGTTCTTTCTTCTATTTGTTGCACAGAGGAGAATTATTTAAGAGCAATAACTGAGGCTGCTTGGAAAAACTCTAGGATTCGAAGGCTTCTGGATCCGGATCTTCCTTGTTTGTTTAACTATTTTTAGGTCTTGTTTGTGTGTTTGTACTTAATATTTTGATTTGTATTTAAAGTAGAGTTAATTACATCATACGTTCTTAAACTATGGTATTTTAAATTGATCCCTAAACTTTTAAATATTCAAATTTCATCCTTAAATTATGACTATCATTTTAATTTAGTCCTCAAACTTTTGAACATTTTAGTTTCATTCATCCCCAAACTATATCCTTCATTCTATATTAGTCCCCAAACATTTTCAACATTTCAATTACATCTCAAATTATATGTATATGCTAATCACATTTCATGTTAATAAAATAGTTAGGTCAATTTTTTTTTGGATAAGTAAATTATATTCATCCAAAAGAATGCAACATAACTGCTACAAGAACAAGGCAAAATCCAACACTAGATTGACCCCCAATTTATACCCACTTGCCTACTTACATCATCAATCCCCTGTATACTATAGATATACAATTTGATTTTTACAACACCTTTAATACTACTTACAATCATATCAACAGAGCGAGAAACACCCCTAAAGCTTATGTGGTTACGTTCCTCCTAAATGTGGTACAAAAAACCAGTCTAGCCGAGCTTTAGAATCCTCACCCTGAGAGATTTACCCTTCAAGTTAACAATCAGCCATTGAAGGCGATCATTCCATTTAAGCAAAGCAGGATGAATCCCACAGGAGACCTGCACAACATTCCAAACTTCTTCAGCAAAGGAGCAATCAGCAAAGAGATGGTCACGAGACTCAATCCTAGACCCACACAGGACACAACCATTATCCAAGACCAAACCAAATCGAATCAGACTATCTCTCGTAGGCAGTCTATCAAGGGTGGTCATCCAAGCAATAAGGGAGAATATCGGAATATGAGCAGGAAACCAAATGATCCTATGCCAACTATCTTTCTCTGCACGAACTCTAATCTGGTCCCAAAGCCATTTACCCTTGATCAGGTTCCAATTAGAACAAGGAATAAACAAATTCCTAGCCTCTTCACGAAGCTTCAGCAGCTTTTTCAAAATCCAGCTGAAGTAGGCTTTGTACTCAACTTCCCAGAAGCTTACAGCTTTAAGACAGTATGCATGTAACCATGCAATCTAGAGTGAGCCATCATTTGCAAGAATTTTCTTAATGAGCAATAGGCAGCAAGCCTTACTCCAAAGAAAAATACTTCTTAGACCCAGACCCCCCTCAGACCTAGTTGAGCAGACCTGGCTCCAACTTACACGAGCACCTCTGGCAGGGGCATCACAACCTTTCCAGAAAAACCGCATGCAAAGCCTCTCGACATCATTGTGTCAACACACCTTTTCGTCATACTAGGATTCAAACTCCTAAAAATAGGATAGAATTTTGCTAGGATTCAAACTCCTAAAAATAGGATAGAGTTCTACTATGATTTAAACTCCTAAAGATAGGATCCACAAGCACTATAAATAGCCATTGTAACTCACTATTGTAACACACGATTTACAGACAAAATACAAAGGCAAAGCTATTGTAAACGATTCGAAAATGAAATAAAATGTAGCATTTTTTTTCTTTTTTTTTATTCGTTCATTTCTCGCATGTGCACGTTATTTTTCTTGAGATTTGGTTCGAATAACCCAAAACGTGGGTTGCGCCGATGACCAAAAATGGGTGGGGTTTCGAAGTTTCGAACCTAGATCTACCTCGAGGTGTGTTCATTTTTTATCCCCCTAATGCGCAATATCAACGTTAATTGTCTTTCAAATTTGGCCCCAATCTTTATTTTTCTTTATATTAGTCCTTTTATTTATTGTATAGATATTTTTATTTATTTATTATTTACATTATTTTCATTATATAAATATATATACATATGTTTTTTTAAATGATTTTCAATTGATTTTTTACACTATATATTATTATTATATATAAATATATTTTTTATTTATTTATATTCATTTGGTTATTTTTTAATACTATATTTATTATTTATATATATATACATACTTTTTTTAAATATTTTACTTATAAGCGTATTATTACTATATATATATATATATATATATATATATATATATATATATTAGAGCAGGGTATACGGGCTAAGGCCCGCGGGCTACCCGTTTAACCCGCGATCCGTGCGGGCTTCGGGCCTCAAAAATTAAAGACCATTTAAATTGCGGGCTTTTTAGCCCGGACCGTTAAACCCACGGGTTTAATTGGTATAACCGCGGGCTACCCGCGAAACCCGCTAAAGCCCGCTTAATTTAAAATTTATAAAATTTTAGATAAAATAAACTTAAAGAATTTTATAGAAAAAAAAATAAATTACCTATAAATATGATGTTACTTATAACTATTGTAGTTTTTAAATTTATTAGGGTGTTAGTCATAATTTTACCGATGCTTGATATTTTTTTCATTTAAATATACATCATTATCATTTTGGTATTTAAAGATTTATTTTATTTAATTTTAACCTTTGTTTTTTTTCATGAAGTATGTTATCCATTTTGTTCTTTAATTATAAAAAGTCATGTGATATTATAATAATATATCACATGACACGTAATATTTGGATTAAAAATAAGAAAGAAAAGTAAAAGAAAAAATTGAAAACATACTTTTCAACTTTTAAAGACTTTTACAAAACAAATTTATTTTAACAAATTAATGACTTATATTTTATCAATTTTAGTATAACTGTATCTTTCAAATTTACTCTTATACTGTAAGTATTTTATATATTTTCATATTATATTTTAGTCTTTCTCTAAAGTATCCATAAAATACAATTATTATGACCACTTGACAACTTTCTTGTTAGATTTGTGTAATGTTTGACTTTGTTGAATTTTTATGTTTAAATTTATGCTTTCAGAATTCAGACACTCCTGTGTCTTCATATTATAGCCTTGAATAATCGTGTTTTATAAAAGTGTAATGTGGTTATTGTTTTATTTGTTTTTCAATTTGGTGATATAAGTGAGTATTGTTTTTTTAATTTGAGTTTAAGTAATTATATCATTATATATATATATGTATTAATGATTAAAAAATTTAAAAAAAATATTATTTTATAGTCATTTCCGGCTATTTAAAATAAAAAATAAATATTATTTATTATTTTGACGGTGCTACCTTCCTTTTCAAGTTGCTCGATCATTTTTAAAGGCGTAGTAAGTTAAAACATTATTTTTTATTGCATTTAAAACATTTAAAATTATTTTTATTAAACGGGCCGCAAGTAAGCCCGTTTAGCCCGCGTGTTAAATGAACGGGTCACGGGCCTTAAAATTCAAAACCGTTTATGAATACGGGCTTTTTAGCCCGCTCCGTTTAAGCCTGCACCGTCAAAACCCGCGGGCTAAACGGGCGGGTACCCCGTATACCCACCTCTAATATATATATATATTGTAATTATCTTTATTTGGATTTTTTTACTTTATCATTATACGTATATATGAATGTTTTTAATAGTTTATTTATAAGCCAATTATCATTATATGTATACTTTTATATTTGGTTTATATATTTATTTTTATTTATTTTGGTTTTTTTTGTTTATATTATATTATATTTTCGTATTACTATCATTATTGTTATGATTATTTTTTTTTCTATTTTACTCATTTATATATATATATATATATTAATATTTCATTTATTTATTTATTTATTTTCCCTTTTATTTTATTTTTTACTTATTTTTATTCTTCATTTTTTTTCATTTATTCATTTTTTCCCTCTAACACATCTTATGACTTTTTAAGGGTATTTCCGTAAACTCATTAAGGGTAAGTAATTCGGATCAAATTTTACTTTTAATTTAACTTGCAATTTTCTTAATCAAAGACAACTGGAAATTACGTAGTACCGAAAGGGCGGTTCAAGGGTGATAATCATTCCTTGATCGTAATCGACTCCCGAACCCGACACATCTTTGGAAAGATGCAGATCAGGTAAGAAATAGGGTATCTGATCAACCCATTTGTTTTAAATAAATGATCGGTGGCGACTCCAATCCATTTTCCTAAGTCGAAGCCCAATTTCGGAGCCCAACCGAAAGACGGTTGCGACAGCTTGGCGACTCCACTGGGGACACAGGTAAGTGAGTCAGGCTAAGGTAATTTCCAGTTGTCTTTTTAACGAAAAGGGTAAGTTTAAATTTTAAGGTAACATTTTAATCCTTATTTCTTACTTTTGATTATATTTTTTCGAGTAAATAGTTGAACTGACTGTTTTCTCAATGATTTCAGGCTTCTAAACTTTTTCATCTAAAGGCTCTATACCCGAGCTCTGAACCTGTTTTAAGTGGGGGTGAAAGCGACGCCTTCGTGTGAATTTATTCATCGTATAGGCCTAGCAAGTAACCTTCAGGATTCATATACCTTATGTCTTCGTGTAAATTTATTCTCCGTATGGGCATAAGGGAATGTATCCTCCCGAGTTTAACTTAGTCCACACAAGCTTGTAATGGCCTTAGGACTAAGGGTCTGGTAAGCCCAAGGGGGCACCAACAAGGAGAACTCGGGTACCATTTTTTTTAGAACCTAAACCGGGAGACTATGGAGAAATAGAGCCTACCCCAAAACCTCATTTCAAACCCTAGAATGCCAGAATTATTTCATGCTTTACTTTCTGTTCAAAGCATGCGAACTAGACAAATATGCGATTAGGATTTATTCGAAATTAGCACGCAGGATAGAGATCATGTCCGAGTAGGAATACTAAGCATGTTCGGGTAGATATCATGTGGGGTAGGATTTTTCATTTTATTATTTTGATTTACCTTACTAACTCTTTTCTTTTCTTTTCTCTTTTATTTTATTTACATCATATGCATTATTTAAAAGAGGTGTTGATCCACCAAAAACATGTTTGTTAAACATGAATAATCTGCATTAATGGACAAAGGGGTTGTAATACAAGAGATGAAAATACAGAGGACAGTCTACAGGGCGACTATATGTCACATTCAATCCAGAAGATGTGGTACTCGCAATCGAAGAATATGTCACTTTGCTACATTGTAAAGGACTCCGAATGGACCGAAATTTACACCGAGCACACTAAAGTCAAATTTTTGAGAGGCAAAGGTTGCAGGGGCAAGACGAGGAAAAAGTTACTGACCCAAAGATTACTTTCGAAAACTATGAGAACAAGATGAATTCCAGAAACAAGTCGATAAGCTTCGGATTGAGGACTTCAATGGCACTTTCGTTAGAAACAAGCTCGACAGAGAGTGAAAGTTGGACATGCAGTCATTCGAGACCTTTTTATGGGGCAAACAGCTTGTCACTTGCACATTTTGGCCAAATGAGCCTGAACGGTTCGATAGGGTATTCAACCAATGACAGACGAAGGCAGAAGACTAGTCAACATGTCAGAAGCTGTCATGATATTTTTGTCTCTTAAAAGATAAAACACTTTTGTCCCCAATAAGAATTATTCATAATAACAGACATGTTTTTGGATCAATGCCTCGAACATTTCATACATTTTGCATTTTGCATCTACATTTCATTTTTAAGCATTTTCATGAAATTAAGTCATGGAGTATTGATGAAGTGGATTTAACCACATGGAAACAAGATTGTAACCTTAAAGAAAAAACTGAAAACAATACAGTGAGAGCCTGATCAGCTGATTGTAGGACAAAGCCTGCTAGGATGATCTAAGAAAAGAATCCTCATATCCTAAGGGCTACGATGTTGAAGCTGTTAGCTGTTACCACATAAGAAGCCCCAAACATTCCTCTGAAAACTGTATGGTACTTGCCGAAGAAGGGGGCATGTCATATACTATTTGCACTTAGAGGATTGTTTTGTTTGAACACATCTTCGATCTTTCATGTTTGCTTAGTCTTTTAAAGGATTGAATTTATACTACTTTCTAAGGTAGAGCAATTGAACAAATCTTAATCTTTAGTTCTTCGAATATTAAATGAATTAAGGATCCTTTTAATTCTTCAATAATTATAGATTTTTGACATATGGCAAAATTATACCTTTCTTATCTTGTCTCAAACCCCAAGATAAAATACATCGATTCTTTACCCAAAATAACTCATGGTCATTACCAAAAAAAAACCAAAATTTGACATTACCTCCCTTTGAAATTCTTGAACATTGCCTTTATCTTTTTGATACACCCATACAACTCTTTGAGTCAAATAAAGTCACACCATTATCTTTTTAGACTCAAAATTGACATTATAATACCATTAAAACCCAATGCATTGAGTTGTTCATTTGAACATGATCATTCTTCTAACTTGGGGCA